AGCGGAACGGGGCGGGTGGTGTCTTGGGGCTGTGCGCCAGGTGGGGCGATCACCGTTGGGTCCTGACGGAGGGGGGAAGACCTCGGGGTGAGCCCCAGCGAAACCCTTTGCCTTTGCTGCGCCATACGGGACGAGTTACGCCGCTCGCAGCGGCACGGGCTCTCCTGGAGTGACTTGCTGCCAGCATCCCTCGCTGGAGGTAGAGTAAGGCTATACCCCCTTGCCTTGCTGTTGAACGCGGACGTGATGGAGCAGGTTCGGACCAGCAAATGTCCGTACCCCTGAAGTTTCGCTCGTCCTCTAACTTCACTAGCCTGACTGCGCTAACCAGGAGCAGCGTGGGCTGGCCTGGCTCTGGAGCGTGGCAAGCACAACTGAGGGTCCCCATTGCAGGTTAGGGGTGATATTCTGGCCAGTGTGGAGCTTGTGAGTAGGGTGTCATTTCCATTAAAAATCAAACATTGATTAAAAAACAGTTCTTGTTGAAGTTTCAGAGGAACTTACTTTGTTCTAATGCATTCTGCTAGTGTTAACATACCACATGTGCAGTATGTTGGCATCTGCTTGGACCTGGAAGCAGCCTGACCGGAGGTGCTGTGCTCCCACGAGGCTCCTGGGACATGTGCCTCACCATTTATGTTCATCTCGTGCTGCAGGCAGGGTTACCTCCTCCAGCACATCTGTTAAGGGAACTGGAAGCCCTTAGAAGTAAGTGCAGGCCTGCTGCACTGGGAAGGTGCCAAAGCCACAGTGGGCTAACTGAAGGACAGATGTGAGAAAGCTTTGCAACTATGAAGAAGGTTGTTCTGTGACATTTCTCTCACCTGCACACACATCTACGTGTAGCTTCTGGTCTAGGGACCTTGCTGCCTGCAGCTGAGCATGCTGCCCCCCGATGCAGAAGTAGAGGCTGAGGTATCTCGTAGAATTTAGGGCACTGCTAATTCAACCTTATGCCCAGCTACATGTGTGCCTCACTGGAGGTGTCTGCCTGAGCTTGGGTTAGACAGAGCATAACTCTACTGTTGGGTATGGTGCCTTACCAGTTTGCTTCTGCCTGGAACCAGTTTGTCAACTGGATTTATAGGTGGCTGTCACAATGCCATAAAGCCAGGTCAAACCTCTGGAGTGAGTGCCCTCTTCCCCTTGAGGGCATGAAGTGCAAAAGGTGTGGGCTGGTGTAAATTGCAAGGAGCTAGTGAGAGCAAGAATGAAGGGGACAGCCCCTGACAGCCTGAGCAGCAAAGGTCTTTGCAGAAATGTGTAGTTCACCACCTTGGTGGAATACACAGGGAGTTTTCCTCAAGAGGCATTGACTGGACTTCTGCCAGTTACCAGCAAATCTGGAGGTGAAACATGTTAATGGTATCTCATTATCTGCTGATTACTCTGTCATTAAAAGGGGAGACCACCTGTAGTTCTGGTATTGGCAGGCTGTTTCCTAGAATCATTAGGATGGTGGTGGTAAGCCATCTAGGAATGGCAGCGTCTGCCTTATTTGCAAAGGTGTTGGGTGCATCCTTACTAATATTTACACCAACCTCTTGGGAAAAATATTCCTCCTTGTCCCTGCATCATCAGGGAAAGTTTTTTTTTGTTCGGTTTTATCTTAATTCTTTCTGGTATCTCTTATGTCTCTAGATTACAGGTATACCTTTCTTCTTTTTGTCAGGTTGCCTAAAGCTTTTGTCATGAAAGAAATATGTGCATCAGTGCCTGGGAGAGAGAAGCTGCTATTTTAAGGAATGAACATACAGTACTTCAGAGGGCTTTCTCATCGTCACTCCAAATTACAGTCAAAGCCGCAACCAATAATATGTCCCATCATCATTTTTATTTTATATATATATATATGTATGGGAAGAAAGAAAGGCTTTGAAAAGAGTTAATCTAAAATAAAGCATGCTGGAATCCTTTGGGTTATATTCCAGTTACTAAGTAATGTGGCCTGGTGATGCTTTCATTTTGTTTAACAGTGGAGTGTACTGGTAAATTTAAAGCCAGAATCCAGAGATGCACAGCTGAATGTTTGTGGTTGTAGCTGGTTAATGTTTTATGATGCATTGTTTCTAATAGGGGGCCAATTAATTTAAATTGCTACCTTTCCCCATACCTGCACTTGGCAGAGCAAGTGACCTGTCTGCTCCAAACCCTTGGCTTTTTAGTTAAAAGTTTTATTTTTATTTTTTTGTTCTAGCAAATGGAGACTGAATGCATGTTCTTTTGATACTTGTAGCCAGTGCAGTATTTATCCCCAGGCCAGTTCTGCTTACAGTCTTAAGCTGAGTTTGAGAGTGTCAGTAATGCAAGTGGGCAAAAGCTCAAGAGGATGACTATTGAAAATGTGCCTAGCATTTCTGTGTGCACTACCGTAGATGCATGGGGCACTTTACGTGGCATGTAAAGGCACGATCTTTGCCTGAATTAGGTATAAATGAACATGACAAGATACAACACCAGGATAGATAAGAAGCAGGGAGAAAGCCATATAGGGAAAGTTACACGGCTGCCTGCTTGGCTGAAATACTGCATGCCACATGCTCTGCTTCTGTAACAAGCAGGAGAAAAAATAATTAAGAAAAATATTAAGATACTATTGCAGATTGAGATACAATGCAATCCTGGTCTGAGGTTTGGGAGGTGTGGTTGTGGGGCCAAGTGGTGAGTATGAGGGTTGGAGGTCCTGAAAGACACTGAAGCCACAAAGGGCACTTGCCTGTACCATGAGTTACACACTTTGTGCTGGAAAATATATAGTCTACATAGATGAGACTGACAGAAAGACAGGAGGAGGCAGAAATGATGTAGAAGGAAGCAGCCCAGGTGTAGGTTTCCCATGTCTGGAGTTTATATCCAGTTGCTCAGTTTTTGGACAGCAGTTTTCCCTCCCTTCTGAGACTGTTCCCAATATCACCGCAACCTTCCCTCATTGATTTGTTTGTTTGTTTGTTTTTAAACTCCCATGCTTTTCTTCTAGACGGTCTGTATTATTTTCTGTATGTTTATCATAATTTTACTCTTGACAGCCAGTACATGATTCAGCCCAGTTTGAGCTTGTTTCTTAGAAGAAAGATGATGCTTTCACTGGTCCTCTTTGGCACCACTCTTCCAGCAGAATTATTACTAGCTCACCTGGAACGATACATGTCTGGCAAATGCAGTAGTATTTGTGTATTAGAAGACTACAGGTTGCATCCTGTGGTTGATCTGTAAATCATGCTGGAAAAGCATTCTGCAGCAGATAGTTAAAATGAACAAAATCTGAGGGTTGTGGGGGATTTCTGTTTGTTTGTGTTTTTTTTTTTTTTTAAGTAAAGCTATTGGAAAGATAATGAAACTACCTCTCAGAGCCTGTGTTTTGCTGAAGCAGATAGAAGGAAGGCAGGAGGTCATGGGAGTTGCCAGTGCCATCAGTGGACAGCCAGGTACGTGATTAGAGAGCAGGTGTTGGGATATGATCTCTGGTTTCAGCTACTGATCTGCAATACATCACTTTAGTTTCCCTGTCTTCAAGACTTTTTTGTTCTTGCCTAGACCCTTCCTCAACTCCTGAGGAAAAACCCTTGATGTGCATCAGGCTTTTTGATGATTTTGGCAGTGCCTGACACTATTGTCCCCTCATTTTGGGAAAGCATTGTCTGACCTTTTGCGTCCCCATTGCATCTTCTGGCAGGCAATGGAGTTTGTCTCCTGTACAGCCCTTGTTAGGAAGAGAGACTTACTTCCCAGTCTCACATTAGGGAGTAAATCCCATAGGTCCCATTGCATTGTCTCTGTACCTGTGCCAGCTTGAGCAGCTCCTTCTCCTTCTCCCTCTCCCTCATTCCCCTGCTGGCTGAGGCAAAGCCTTTCTCCTTCTTCGTTCCAAGCAGGTTTTTTGGCTGGGCCGATATCCTTAATCACAGCCAGCTCTTCTTCACTTGGTGGGGTGAGGTAGGGGAGATGGCACTGTGCCATAGTGCTGAGCATCCAGAAGAACCTTGATCTGGCATTATGCAGTGGGAGGCTAAACTTGAGATACAAAGGAGGTCTGGTACAGCTACTGTGACACTGCCCCACACCTTGGTGTGGCAGCAAACTGGAAGACCTGTGTTGTCTTACATGACTGACGCTCTCTTCCTTAGGCTGCCCCTCCATTCTTTTCCCCTTGCTCATAGTTTTTCCCATCATGAGTAATGGAGTGAGTACCACTTGTAAACTGGACAGTGGAGAAAGAAATAGAAATCTTTATATATATATATCTATTAATCTTGATCTATATATATATGAACCTGACTTTTTGTTTTTACGCTGCTGAAAGTGAAATTTGTGGAGCAATACAACCCAGCTCACTTAAGCCTCCAGACACCGCTCTGATGGTAGTTTATGCTAGTTTAAAACACTCCTTCCTGGTGTAACAGCTGTGTAAAAGGATCCTACTGCAATGGCAAATTGGGTTGTAGCACCTTTATCTACTGTATGCACTCAAGGAAGTGAGGTGAGAGAGGTGCTGCCAGTGGCAGGACCGCTCCTGTGCTGCCTCACAGCCAACTAGAACATTGTTTAACAGATTCCCTTTTACGGTCTTGTGCAGAAATTATACCCTTGCTTTTCCCTCTCTGAAGCTGCAGTGAAACATGTGTGAGCGCCAGGAGGTGACAAGAGACAAGACAGTGCCAGAAGGTACAGCAGGGGAAGAACAGACCTTCTCAGGCACACAGAGGACTTTGCCCCATCCCTTCTCACAGAAAGCAGTAGCAGCTGTTTGCAGGGGTCTGGCATGGAGGTAAAGCAGTGTTGGAATTCCAGTTTCCGTCTCCTGAGGGAAAAGGAGATGTCAAAGGAGTGTGAGGCTCTAGCATGTCTCAAACAGCTGTAATGCTACCTTTTGCAGGGAAAGTGAGCTTTGTGAGCTTCTGTTGTAGCATCACCTGGGGATTATACCTGACTGCAGGTGTCTGGAAACTGGCTCTGCAGGGTCTGATTGATGGGAGGTTTCCCATAAATGGTGATAAACTGAGGCCTGTTGTGGGACCCACTCATGCTGGCTCCAAGTAATTCTGAGAAGGGAGGTCTGGATGGCACTTTCAGTGGGTTGCCAAGCTCATGACTGTTCCTGTTGGTGTGGAGGTGTCAGCAAGGGTGCCCAGCCACTCTCTTTTGTAAGGTCTCAGTCTCCAGGACTGTGTGAGAAGCTTAGCTAGATCTCATCCTGCTTCCTCTACCCATGCTGCAGGCTCTTTAAAGGGAGACTTTATTTACTCTGTGCCAGGTGGCGTGTGTGATTTCCTCAGTGGTACCACTAATAGCTGGCAGTATTACTCTGCTTTCAGTATCCAATTGTGAAAGCTGGGGGAATTTACAGAGCAAAAAAAAGTAAGGGTGCGATGCCAATAGCCTTACTAGCTGGGCTGTGTGTAGTAGTCAGGAGCAGCACTGGTGATCCATATTAAAGCCTAGTACCATTTGTCTTGAGCCTTCTGGCTAGGTTTATTAAGGAGCTGGATTGAAGTTTTAAGATGGCTGGTGACCACTTGTTGCTTACAAATCCTTGCAGTTGTGGTTTTCTTGTGCACTGCTTCGTACATGATCAGACTTGTGCAAAGTAAAGGAGTGATGACCTCCTGACCTAGTGCCTGCCCCAGGTGTCTTGTCTTTTTGCTTGCTTATAGATAGCAAGCAGCACCTCTGCTCCTTCCTCCTGGAAGCTGGCTGACCACTTCTTCAGTTAATTTCTTACCACGTGGTGTGTCTTTTCATTTTTCCCTCCTGACTAATGACAGGAGTGAGCCCTGTCTCATTTCTCACTTTGTGTACTCATTTCCAGTGTTTTTCCTGGCTCTGTGTCAGATTCATACTCATCTTTTGCCCTGTATTTTCTTTATGTCTGGGTGATGCATCATGTTTGTCGTCCCTTCTTCCCATGGTCTTTAGGAGAGTTTTTATGGTCTGTTATTCAGAAGTGCATTTCAGGACTGTCCTGTAGGATCCAGAGTGGTAGCATGGTGTTACCAAGGCCTGAAGTATCCTTCAGACACTCAATGTGTCTGAAGAGCCCTTTAGAGTATACTTGGTTTGTCGGTCTGTGCTGGTAAACTGGACTTGTGGTAGCACTTTGCTGAAGTGCTGCCTCATTTTGGCCTGGGTTTGACATAGAGAGCTGCTGGAGAAGGTTGTCTGGGATGAGCCACTGCAGAGCAGTCTTTTCAGATTAACCTTTCTGACCCTGGTTCTTTAGTATCAGAAATTTATAGGCAGTGTGCTTCCAGTAAATTCCTCCAAGCAGCCTGTTCTGCATTTGGTGGTTGGGCAGGCTTCTTAGATTAGCACACATGCATGCTTAGCCTCAGAGCTGAGGTTAGAGTTATCTTCTGGCTAAAGGCTGACCAGATGTTTTGAGTGCATCAGGAATCCTGTACTCTTACTTAGACATGTGAAGGCTACCTCTTCCTGTCTGTGCAGACAGATAGAACAGTATGTGTTGATCACTCCAGTGAGGACCACGGCACCAGTGGGGTGCATGCTGTAGGTAATGGAGGTCATGTCTGCTGCTGGTCTAAAATGACTTGGCTGCAAGCAGGATCCATTTTGCTCTATCTGCCCTCCTGCACTGTGGGATGTCTTAAGGTTTGACCATAGCCCTATACTCTGGTAATCCTGGGGATGTTGCGAGGCACATTTTGCAGTGGAACAAACTTGAGGTCTAATTCTGACTTTGTGGTGGTTGTGGGTTTTGAAAGATTAAAAAAGCTAATTTAAAGAAAGGAGCTTTTTCCTCCTCTGTGTTTTAAAGAGTATATCCTGGAACCACAGGCTGTGTTTGGTCTGCAGAACTTTTTCCTTTATTTTCTAATAGCATGTGCTTCTCTGCTCCTTAAGAAAGTGGAGAGCTGGGCTGTGAGGGGTCTTGACTGTCTGCCTGTCTGCCATGTGCTACCTCCCTGTACAACTATTTCTACCTGCTCCAGGAAGTCTGCCTCCCATCTGTGTTTTGCATTACTCATTTGTTTGGTGTGTATCTCAGAGTGGAAAGTTCTTCTGAGATGCTGTAGCACCCTCTGACTAAGTGTATCAACCATATCTTTGATTAAATGTGCTTGCTGTTCTGAGGTGAGAGGCATCAAGGCGCAGGTGATTGAAACCCTGCTGTCCTGCTCTGCTTCAGCAATGTGATGTCAGCTTCTGATGTCGATAAAAGGTGGAAGTTTGATAAGCGTCTTGCCTTGGAGCATGGCCTGCTTGGGCTGTGCTCTGCTTGCTGGTTTTGGCAGATACCCGGGTGATGAGCTGTGGTGGTGTTACTGTTGAGAAGACCTCGTGTTACCTTTCAGGAGAAGAAAGCCAAGGCCAGTCTTATTGTGTTTTTAATTGATGAAAATTGAACTTTGAGCTCAGGACCTGGGAAAAAGGATGGTGAAAGAGGACTCTATGTGAGCAAAGGCACTTTAGGAAAAGTCCATGCTGGCAAGCTGCTGAGCCAGGTAACCTGTTGGCTTGGCAACATGTTTTCCTTAAGGCCTGTACTGCAGTGGTCTGTTATAAATGCCTATACTCACTCAGCTGTGTCTCCCTTTCCCCTAGCAAAGTGAGCTCAACTCCTTCCTGTGGACCATCAAGAGAGATCCCCCATCTTACTTCTTTGGCACCATCCATGTCCCGTACACACGTGTCTGGGATTTCATCCCAGAGAACTCAAAGAAGGCCTTCCAGCAAAGCCACATCGTGTACTTCGAGCTGGACCTCACCGACCCCTACACCATCTCAGCTCTCACCAGCTGCCAGCTTCTGCCACAGGGGGAGAACCTCCAGGACGTGCTGCCCCGTGATATCTACCGCCGGCTCAAGCGGCACCTGGAGTATGTCAAGCTCATGATGCCGTCCTGGATGACCCCAGACCAGCGGGGCAAAGGACTGTACGCAGATTACCTCTTCAACGCCATTGCTGGCAACTGGGAGCGGAAGAGGCCAGTGTGGGTGATGCTGATGGTGAACTCTCTGACGGAGGTAGACATCAAGTCACGAGGTGTGCCTGTCCTGGATCTGTACCTGGCCCAGGAAGCGGAGCGGCTGAGGAAGCAAACGGGCGCTGTGGAGAGAGTGGAGGAGCAGTGCCATCCGCTCAATGGTCTGAACTTCTCCCAGGTGAGATGGAGTGGTGTGCAGGGTGCCAGCCTGGCTGCTTGGGTGGATGTCACAGCAGTGAAAGCACGGGCTGGGGCATTGGGTAAGTATGCTCTACCCAGACACTGGTGTTTGCTCCACGCAGCCCATGCCTTTGCCTGTGCCCTCAGGACAGTTTCCTAGCTGCAGGAGCTAAGGCCATGTCCTCAGTTCATTTAGACCTGGCCTGGGGAGACCCCTGTCTTCTTCTTTGGGCAAGGTCCACCCTAAGAGGCACTGAAGTTTTTTGCATATCTGCTCTCTGACCCTGGCTCAGGAGCCCAGGGCAGGCTGGGCTTGAGTGTCTAAACTGACTTCTGTAATAGCTGGGTAAGAATAATAGCTAAGTAAGGTGTGATCACCTGGGGGAAGTAGGGGCACTGTGAAGTACAGAAAGCTGAGAAGTAAGCACTGGGGACATCCTCTGCACTGGGAAAAGTGGGGTTTCGCTTTGGTGTTTGTTTGTTTTGGGGTTTTTTTGTTTGTTTTGGTTTTTTGTGGGTTTTTGTCTGTATGCGTGTGGTTGTTTATTTTGTTTGTTTCTTTGGGGTTTTGGGGTTTTTTTTAGGGGATTTTTCTTTGGGTGGGGGAAGGGTTGTATTTTTCTGTTTTCCTTTGAGACCAGGCAAGCATCAGCACAGCTTCCTGCAGGGACCTCCGCAGGCTAGTGCAGTCCCTTTGCAAGTGCCTTTGTGTTTGCAACCAGATGGAGTTTAGCACCATTGTTCATGCAGTGTCACACCAGGCAAGTAGAACAGCATATGTGTTGTCCAAGTGTTGGATGGGGTGGTCCTCTCTGAACTAAATACACCAGGGAGCAGCATCTGTTGCTGTGTCTGTCTGCCTGGCTGGTGGGACCACAAGCAGGCATGTTTGCTCTCTGGCCTGGGATACCCCTTTTGCACATAGGGAGGCACTAGTTTGGGGAGAGGAAGTGGTGTTTGCTTAGGAAAAGGTGAGACCTGCTATTGCAGCATGCACTGCTACCCAAAGGTGGGTTATGGGGCATGGGAGATTCAGCTGATGCATGAACCTTACCCCTGCATCCTGAAGTATGGCCTGTACCAGGTGCAGTTTCTCTTGCTAGAAGGGAAGGGGCAGAATGGGAGGTGCAGCCCAGCAAAAGCAGGGACTGTAGTTCAGAGCAGATGTCAGAAGTGCTGCTATCCCAGTCCAGTCTTGGTGGATGAGCACAGTGCAGGGAACAGAACTTTAAATGCAGTCTTTAAATGCAGTCAGGGCATCTTCCCTTGTTTGGAAATGGGCTGCTTTATTCACATCTCCAGTCTTTTGAGTAACTTTAAGTTTTCGTGCTGCTGCTGCTTGCTCACAGCCAACTTAGGAATGAGTTGGGAAGTCTCATCTCTTATGTGTCTTATCTGGTTGAGGTGTTATTAACATTATCGCATGTATTTTTTCTTCTGCTGATACTACTTCTCTGGTTTAGTATGATAGAAACCAGGGCATAACGGAGCGTTTGGATGTGCTTTCTCCACTGTAAAGTAAGTGGTAGGGAGGCTGAGAAATATAGGTTGCAAATTATGTCCCTGTTAAGCTCATGCAGCTGTTAACACTTACTTTAGGCCTTCACACAGCTTTCTTAAAAGAGGTGCTTGCTGTAGCTGTGCTGCTTTGTTGTTGGAATAAACACCTGCAAATGAGCCAGGAAGCTGCATGGGGTGAGGGGCACAGAGCTGCAACATCCAGAGCTGGCCAGCCTGGTGATACTTGTTGTGAGAGCCCAGCTGAGGTGGTCAGGGTAACCAGAAGTGCAGGAGAAACTTTGCCCTGCTCAGGAAAATCAGAGCCTGTGATTACCCCAAGGTGGGTGGAGATGTTCAAGCCATCATGCAAACTGCAGCTCCTCCTGCACCTGCTCATTTTCAGGGGACAGAGCATGCTGTGCCTTGTGGTTACAGGTCTGGACCTGCTACTGCACCACAGATTCACACCCTTGCTTCTGCCCACTGCTAGATTTCCAATACATGCAGCTCAAGGAAAGGGAGAACCCGATTTTTGTTTCTAAGCCAATTTCATGGTTGCTTCAGAACCTGACTTGTGACCTCTCATGGTTGACAGTTCTGTAGATCTTTGATTGCAGAGCTGCCTTCTCAGTTTGTTCAGACAGCTTAGTTAATGATGTGATTAATATAAACCAAAGACACTGAAACAGGCTCTTTGAAAATTATTTCCTTTGGTATTGTGCTGCTGTCTGGGAACCCCCAGTATCAGACCACTTCTGTGCCTGCCTTTCAAGTGCCTGAACACACAGGGACAGCTTAAAAAATTCTGCTGGGGAAAATGAGGATGCAAAACTATAAGCAATGGTCTAATCCTGTGCAAGAAATGGTTTGTGGTTGGTTTTTCAGTTTTCTTTTTTTTTTTTCTTCTTCTTTTTTTCCCAGCAGAGTCACAGAGAGATGTTTTACTTAGCAGAGAAGCAAGTTTCTTCATAATGTTTGCTCTTTCTTTCGTTTATGACATAGTTGTACAACCTGGTGAGAAGGACTCCCAGGCTACTTACAAGCAATACATTATTATTAGTTAGGTCCCTCTCTTAATCCGTACTATAGGATAATGCCTGGTTGGCGTAGGTCTGTTATTGCAGGTCACTCTAGAACTTCATAATTGATTGTGTCCATAGGGTTGCACAATGCTCAGTAACCGTGAAGTGTGAACAAACCCAAGCTAGAGAAGTCATTCTTCTTGCGAGGGGAGAGAGGAAAAATGATACCCCCCCACATACACTGCCTGTATGGTGCTCTTTTTCTTTGGCTGTGTTTCAGTTTCCTCTTTATCTTTTGTTTTATGACTCTTACTTTACCTGCCAAACCTCTTTGTTCTTGCTCAGCTTAAGCTGGTTATCCATCTAGCCAGGCCATTAAAGTATAATGTCTATTTGGTGTACACAAGCTGTGAAATGCTTTAATGCCTCTTCAATCACCCTCTCTTGTTCCAAGGTCTATGCAGCTTTAGGGAGTATGGAAAGATTAGGCTGTCTTCATGCCAGGGCCATGGTGTTTATTTCCTCCACCCCACCTTCTTTGATGGGTAGTGCCTCTCTTGTTGCAATGCCCTGTAAGGATTCAGGCCTCATTCCTAGCATCATCTGGGCTTCCAGCAGATAAAAGGCTTTGTAGCTATACACAATCTGCTGCTGCCGACTTCCAACACTAGAGTCAGTCCCTCAGACCTCCCAGCTGTTCCTTTCAAATTACGCATGTGCATACATGTTTGCTGGATTGGAGGCATTAGTACTCCAGCCTAAAGCCTGTACAACTTTCCTGTTGGCTGCAGCTGTACGGTCATGAACATCAGTTTGGTATTGGCTCAGAAAATGAGCCAGCCTTGGCCAGTGCTGTGCCATTCACTAGTAAACAAGCTGTGCTAGATAGAAGACTTCACCTGTTAGCTTTTTTTGATTTAAGAATTGTTTTCCACCGTGGCTTTCCTGTGTCTAGACCTTTCCACAGCTCTCTGTTTCTACCTGAGCATCTACATACATGGCTACATCTTCAGAAGTAGTCTTCAAAGCTGCTTGGGTGGCAGTAAATAGCAGGGAGCCACTAAGAACTGACTGGTCTTGAAATTCTGGCTCCAGCTCTGGGACTGGCCACTTGAAAGTCTTGTCTTTTGCGTCTTTCTGCCATTTCCTCATACAGTTAGTTACAGATAGAAAATGAAGCAAGGGCTTCTAAGATTGATCATTTTGCATTAATTAGGACATTAATTGTTCATGTTTCTACTCAAAAAGCAACCTCTGCACGCAACAAAGAACTGAGGGATTCCTGCTTTTCTCTAAAGGGTTTGTTCACAGCACTGCGAAGTTCTGGACCGCTAACATGACTGGCCACCTCCTTAGCAAATACAACCCTCCTGATGTAACAGCAACATCATTTTTCTTGCCCGCTTCGGTGAAAAGTCCACTGTTGATAGCCCCTGGTATAAAACTGTTATTTAGAAGCAGCCCACATCTGTGGGGAAAGTAGAAAGCCAACACACTGCTGCTTTGGTATATGTGGAGGGAAGAATTGGTTGGTTTGTTTTTCTTCATTCTAAGGAAGACAGAGAAACAGCAGTGATGACTTGAAATTAGGCCCAGAAGATATGATATGAAATTGGAGAGAATTGTGCTGCTCTCCTCATTTCAAACAAAAGGCTTTTTTTCCTACATTGAGGTGATCAATTATGTTAGTCTTTAATTTTTTGGGTTGATGAGGTCAGATATGGCAGTGTTTGCGTTCACAAAATCCCAGTTTGGGTTCACCTTTGACAACAGTGGTAACAGAGAACCTCTGAGAAAGAAGGAGCAAGGAGAGGCACAGGGTGTGAGCTCTGCAAGGGGTAGTTCAGATCCAAATTTGGAGTAAAGCAAAGAGCAGTTGTTTGATAAAAGAGCTGACAGAGGAGCAGAGCACTCACTGCTGAACAAGTAGTATCTGACTGCACCTTCTGTCCTGACCATGTAAGTTCAAGATATACGTGTCAGTAACAGCCCTTCCTCCTCACATGATGAGAACATCAGGGTATTCTGCACATGAACTGGAGCTGAAATAACTGAATTGATACTATTTGCATCTTTGGCTGCTGAAGTCTGTGACCCAAGTTTAGTTTTGTTTTCAGTTTGTATGTAGGCACATCTGCAGCCTCCACGTCTAGACGTCAGGGACAGAGAATGGGCTGGCTAGTGGGAACCAAAATAGCTAAGGCTTCGCATTTCTATTGTCATAATTAGAGTTTAATTAAGATCTTATTAACTACCAAGGAGTTCAGCATTCTTCCCTTGGTGAGAGTAAAAGTGGAATTCTGACCTACTGTCCCTTCATTCAGAGGGGTGGAGACTGTTTCAAACAGCCTGGACTCTGTGGTAGGCCTTTGAAATCTCAAACCATGGATTTTGCTGTGGCACCAGTTTGCATTGGTCACATGTCATTGTAAGCTCCCTGCATTTGTAGTCTGCACGCCTATCAACTAGGTGGATT